GAATGGGGTCTTAAGGTTTGGAACTCGACCTTGGGTGCATAAAGGCAGCTACTTTGAGCTCCTACAGCTCATATATACTCAGATCTATGATCCATTTCCTTATAGGAGTCCCAATCTCGAGTTTGGATCCAAAAAGTCCCAAAAAGAAGCACATCTAAGCATACAAGACTATCAAATGGAAATAACAAGCAAGGTACAAGCTTTAGTACCAGAATGTGAGGCTGATAATCAAGAGACTCTGGATCTTCTTCTCCTCCTTTGGATCCTTCCTTCTTTCTTTCTCTTCCAAAACCTCCAAACTAGCACAAACACACTCAAGCTCAACAATAGGGGCTAGGGTTTACAGGGGAAATGCTCTAAAGGTGCTGGAGGAGGGGGTGGGAGGCTATAATGACGTTTATATAGGGTACAAACCCTTGAAATTAGGGCTTCATCCAGACAGGCAGACTTGCCAAGTCCCTTCATATGGACTCGCCGAGTAGCCAACTTAAAATGCGTGAACATCCCGTCTCTACTCGACGAGTTGGGCTACAGACTCGTCGAGTACCCCTTAAGAAATGAAACTTACTTTATTTAGATTACATACCAGAAATTGGGTGTTACACAGGCCATGTGGGGGAGCCCATGGCCTTCCAGCTAAAGACCATGGGGGAGCCCATGGCACTTAGGTGTAAGACAATGTGGAGGAGCCCATGGCATCCTAGAGTAAGACTCTGGGAGGAGCCCACAGCATCCGTATATGTTTGTATGCATGGCTTATGTGGTTTATGTAGCTTTTATAGCTAATATGGATTATGTGATTATGTGGATTGTGTGGGGTATGCTCTGGGGAACTCATTAAGCAGTAGCTTACAGTTTGTTGATTGTTTCAGGTACTTCTGAACCCAAGGCCAAGGGCAAGGTTTGATGGCGCGGCATGCACTCTTCGGTATTTAATTTGATGGGACTCTCTGATATTTGAAATAAAATGTTGATGTTCTGGATTTTGAAAACAATTGTCATTGATATTTCATATTTTATGAGAATGTTTTGATTAATTAAAAATAACAAATTTATTTGGAAATTTGGGTCGTTACACACACCTTGAATCAGAAGTTTGTATATGATTATCTAACCGAGTCTCAACCGATCAAACAAGAGTTGGATCGGCTTGGCGCACAACATAACTGAGGACGGATGTGGTTGTGAAGTGTGACGTAGTTGTGGGTTACCTAGTGTATACGAAATTGCAATTTATCCATATTCGGGCCAATCGATGCGAAATAGGTCTATTAGCAAATTTTGGCAAAATCTTATTTAAACAACATTTTTGTCACCACTAAAGATGACACATTTAATTGTGAGGATGGGATACAAGTATAACAGTCAAGTGTGACCACATTTTTAATACTCGAGCAGTTAAAATATTAGATGATTAAAAAAACTAACTTTATTATTATTATTATTATTATTATTATTATTATTATTTATAATAATAATAATATAATAATAATAATAATAATAATAATAATAATAATAATAATAATAAAATCAAAAAAACAAAAAAGTAAAGAGACTATTGACAAAAAATATTAGAAAAACAAAAACTTACAATAAGTAATCAGAATCTAATTTAACATGATCATATATTTAGTTAGGGTGAGTATTTGAATCAGACCGGATCGGAAACCGAACATGAACCTAGTAAGTCTCAATAGGTCTTGTCCAAGGTACACAAATTTTTGCAAAACAGATTCGATTCAAATGCTCATTTTTATGTCCAAAAACTGGAAACATGACTTGGACCTAGTAACCTCAACAGGTCTGGTCCAAGTTCCACCAATTTTTGTAAAACCGGTTTGGCCGAAAACTCACTCTGATTCAATCCAAATAGGCATTTCAACGGGAGCAAACGAAGACGGTGATAATTGTCCCTACCCCCATCTGTGAAATCCTTTGTTTCCCCCAACCCGATCCCGACCCCGCATTCCCCCGTTTCCCCTCCCCTAATCCCGCCCCCAAATTTAAAGATCACCCCACATCCCGCCCATGTTTCCCCCAAATCCCTCGTTAACCACGTTTGGCCTGAAATCTTTCATTTAATCTTATTTGTCGTATTTTTAACTCACTTGTTTTATTTAGCTTTACATATTATATTAATTATTTAAATATAAAATATATATTGCCCAATAGTCACTCTAAGTTTAATATTTATTTTTATAAATAAAATAATTAAATATAAGGTAATTATTTCGGGGCCCCCACGGGATATTCGGGATGCAACACCCTGTCCCCGCCCCCGAAAACTAAACGGGAGTAAACCCTACCTCGATCTTGCTCCCGAACCCAAAAAAAATGTAAAATATTCTTGTACGGAAACAAGGTCACACATGCAGTGGCGGCTCAACGAATTTGGGGGCTCTAAGTAAACGAAAAAATTGGGGCCCTTCAAGTCATGAAATAGTTTCGAACTTGAGACATTTAGTTTTATAAACCAATGTTTTTACCACCAAGCCAAGCTTCAACTTGTCTTTGTAACCGAAGAAATATGTATATATACATATATAATAGAATAAGCTTTAAAATTGGGGACCCTTTAGAATTGGAGGTCCTAAGCCCTTGCTTAGTTTTGGAATGGGTAGAGTCGGCCCTGCACACATGGCTGTAAACGAACTGAACGTGCAACGAACTGTTCGTGAACCGTTCAGCGGGAAGTTCATTTATTTTCGTTTATTTAATAAATGGACGAACATGAACAAAAATTCTCGTTCGTTTAGTTAAACGAATGAACATGAACAATGGTCTCGTTCGTTCAATTATGTTCGTGAACGTTCGTTTATGTTGTTTGTTTACGACTGTTTATGTTCGTTCATATAAGTTCCTTTTATCTTCATATATGTTAAATTGTGTTTGAATAGATTACTATATTATATATTCATTTATAGTTATATATGTTTGTTTATCATTGTTCATTTATGTTCGTTTAGCGTGTTCACGAACATGAACAATGTAATTTGTTAAACGAACGAACATGAACAAGAAAACTCGTTCGTGTTCGTTCATTTGCTCGGTTAACTTAAACGAATGAACATAAACAAGTCATGTACATGTTCGTTCGGTTCGTTTACAGCCCTAATTTTGACTGTCCTAATTCCAAATATTCACCCTTATATTTAGTCAATAATTCGAATTAAAATTGAAACATTGATGGTCAAATAAATAAAAACTCCCTTTAAAAAATAATAAAATATCATTAAATAAATAAATAAATAAAGTCTAAAATAATATCGTAATAGGCTCACACCAATTTTCATAGTAAATAGTGATTTTGAAGTATTACTGGTTATTTATAGAAAAAGAAAATTTTCAGAAAAACATTATTTATTACCACTATATTTGTTTTTCTCTTCCAAATTTTACAGAAAGTTTAACATGTATATGAAATTGGAGTTAAATTATTTTGCCACCACAAATGATATTGGATTGAAGAAAAACGATACAAGATAATATTATGAAAAGTAAATTATATTGAAACAACTTAATTCTTAAGAAAAAATAAATCATCAACAACTTAAAACCAGTAAAATTATTGTATTTATACATACAACCACTAAAGTTTATCATTTATTCCAAAAAAAATATCATTCCATCGCCAACCCACAACTCAATAATATGTACAAATGTTATAGTTAACTGGTGTTTTTTGAAAAATCTAATAACTTAAGTGGTAGGTATATATAAATAAACTGTAGGTATTTTTTTTACAAAGTTAAAATGGTTCTTTTGATTAGTTTTTGAACGTTGTTAGTTGTTACCCTTCTAAATAATTTTTCATATTTTTATCAAAAATTTAGTTGGATTATCATCAACATGAATGGTCTACTCTAGACAAAAGCTTGAAATTTTGAATAACCATTTTTAGTAGTTCATAAACATCAACCAAAGTTTGAATTTTGAAGTATCAATCACCACTAGGTATTGTAGTTCTTGTTTCAAACAAGTCATGATAAAAACTGCTGCTTAAAAATTTCTAAGATGATCAACATACCAATATGATAAACTAAAGTACACATTAAAGATCATCATATCATTGATGGAGACACGATTCTCATTTCAAGTCCAACCAATGATTATAGTACCAAAATTTTGATAATTCGATTGCAAAGAAAACCCCAAAACAAGCCTTTTTCGTTTTTACAAAAACTTCATATGCAATAAGATCTAGAACTCTTGAGAAGCAGAACCAATTTCACCTTTATCCTTTCCAACCTTGCTTGGTAGCAAAGTTGAATGTATATTTGGTAAAACACCACCATTAGCAATCGTCACTGACCCCAACAACTTGCTAAGTTCTTCATCATTCCTCACTGCTAACTGTATATGTCTTGGAACAATTCTGCTCTTTTTGTTATCCCTTGCAGCATTCCCTGCCAACTCCAAAACCTAAACCAACAAATCAAAAATGATTATAAGAAATTGAGAAGCCTCAACAAACCAGAAACATACAAATTCGCAATTGATAACCATCGAAATCAGAAAATACAGATTTTTTTTTTTTCATATCGCTGATGTATCGAAATTAAAAGCCGGAATAGAAGGATGATAGATATATAAGATGATATAAACGAAATAAAAAGCAAATAGATCAAGATTGAGATAAAGTACCTCGGCGGCGAGGTATTCGAGGACGGCAGAGAGGTAAACAGGGGCTCCGGCGCCAACACGTTCGGCGTACTTTCCGGCCTTGAGGAATCGGGCGATCCTACCGACGGGGAACTGAAGACCGGCCTTGGAAGATCGAGACACGGATTTTGTGGTCTTGGGTTTTCCTCTTCCACCTTTGGCATCAGATTTGGGAGCCATTTTATTGAAGTTATAAACCCTAACCCTAGTTTACACAAAACGAGAGATGTTTAAAGCTGGTAGTGATCTGAAGTAGTTGGGGTACATAATACATATTTATACATGAAGTTTCTTCGTTCTTATTGGTTGGATCGACTAGGCTAGGATTGCCAGCTTGGCACAACCTTCTCTTGTTGTGGTTTTCCCTCTTTCGACTCTTTTTCGCGGGAGTGTGTTAATTTTGTTTAAAAGTCCAATACTTACTAAAGATTTCCCGATTTTAGTATTATAAATAATTAATTTATTATATGGACAAACATATAGAGTAAGAAAAAAATAAGCTCCTTTCAAAACTCAAATCTAAAAGGATCGGCTTTAATTCTTAGACATTTATTTTCGCTTGATCAAACATATGTTGGCCCAAGAGTAAGAAAAAAAATAGGCTCATTTCAAAACTCAAATCTAAAATGATCGGGTTTAATTTTTTAGACATTTTATATTATTCTTAGTCTCAAATTGTGGAAGATAGAGGATAAGCAAAGATTATGAGCTGGTTTTATGATAAACCATGTTAAAAGATTATGGTACACGGTTGAAGACATATGAAAATAAAGAATCTGAACATATAAAGATTAGTAGATTGACCAGCCTTGAAGGCTTGGGTCTAGATTGTTAAAAAGAAAGAAAAATCAATTTGTGAAAAAGACAAGAATTGGCTCTCTAGCTAAATAGATACCAAGAGTATGTGTGGATATTGATATCGTAATATCATGAAAGAAATACATAATAGAGAAGATGTGTCCTAATAGATGGACACTAGATAGAGTATATGTCCCAAAGAGTAAAATATAGCAAATATAGGAAGAATGGGGATGATATTGTCATATTTATACATGTTTTTAGGCAATATTTATTTATATTTTTATTAATATTTTGGTTATTTGCATTGAATAATGATACTTATAAGGTTAAATTGTACTTTGCAGCCGAATAGAAGACATTTTGAAGAAAATGGACTAAAAACGTCAGAACATGGAACTTTGGAGGCTTGAAGAAAAGAAGAATAAAAATCCAGCAAAAACGCGTACTCACGACATGAGAATTGAAGGCTCACGACGTGAGTTGGAGTATTCGAGAAGACAGGCATCGGGAGGAAGAATCCTTATCAAACACGGATAATTACGTGCTCACGACGGAGACATATTTGCTCAAGTCGTGAGAATGGAAAAAATCAAAAACTATATATTTGTTTGATCATTATGTGACATCCCCATTTTCACGGCCAGAAAATACCGATTTTGTTTATGCTTTATAAAAATCAGAGTACTTCTTTTGATAAAAATGTTACGGAATTTGTTCCCAGTAAAACATGATAAATACGTTATCAAAGCATTTCCGAATAAATGTATTTTTATTCATTTTAACCAAGCACTTTCAGTGGATATGCCAACCAATGTGCTTTCTGACTTCACCAACAAATTGGGATGGTTACATAACAGGGAGTTTGCTATTTCCCCAAGAATTGATTAGGCCCGGTTTGAGCAAATTGGGTTGATGGAAATGATGGCCCCATTTTTGACCAAGCACTTTTCAGTGGATGATTTTTCCTTCACTTGTAACGGGTGGAGAAACTTATTTACTATCAGTGAGCCAGTTTACCAGGAACTTTGTGTGGAGTTCTGTCACACCCCCGAACCAGACGGCGGAAACGTCCGAGAGCTCGTGTGACTATCAATTGAAATATCATCACAATGAATATACATGAAACATAACACAATCATCACCAAACATTACATATTACAACTGGTATTGTTCACATCAAGTACATTATCTTAGATTACATATTCCAAAATATTAATTGTATGATGATTGATATTACACAAAATAAATCCACACACTTGAAGATTCTTCTGCTTAACGGTTACATATATAATGTTGGTAAGTTCATAAGCATATTTGAATGAAAGATATTGTATTGTTTGGAAAACCCAGAAAAACCGATATTTTCTGTAAAAAGTCTGAAAAATGATGTGAAAATCGAGTACAGATGTATGCATAAATTTTATAGTAAAAACATGTATAAGTGAACGATTCAAAATTTCCTTGTATTATATACGTTGTAAATAGAAGGTGACGAATAATAGTATTTCCCCAGAAAATCCGATATTTTCTGATCTATAAAAAAAATGTTGCAGTCCTTGCATTATAGTATGATTTATTTTGTATCAATATGATTTACAGATTTTTGATTTCTGTAAAGTCGTGATGGTATTGGATCTCTATATGAGTCGTTATAACCATGCATGATAGTGACTGAATTGCCTGTCTTGGCATTTTTCCAAACGCCGGATTTTGATAAAGGTTTTGTCACCCTATACTATCCTAGTCTAACTGTAGCGAACAACTCAGGTGTGGGGAAGTCACCCCCGTATAGATCTATACACAAACTCTCGCTCTCCCTCCAGAAGACTCTGATTATAACTACAGGCTACGACCATACACTCAATGGAGTCAACCGACAAGTCTCACTAGATTCCAATTATTTGCCACATGAATATGTATACGTTATATGTATTTAGAATTTTGAACACCAGATGATACATGAATGTGAAAGGATATGGCCCAACAAACATGAAATAAGACAACTATGGCCCATTCGTCATGTAAGTTATTTCCAGGCTTGTTAAGTATGCAATTGGACACGTTAAGGCCCATTAAGCACATGATGAATTATTTCAGGCTAAATTGGCATGTAAATGGGCCACTAAGGCCCAATAACATGTAAGGGCTTAATTTAGGCCCATTAAGCATGTAATTGGGTCATTGAGGCCCAATAGACATGTAATGAGTATATTGGGCCCAATAAACATGCAAATGGATCACGAATGCCCAATGAGCATGTATAGCAAGTACTGAAGGGTTTTAGGTAAAACAAATAAACTAGAAAAACAATTCCTAAGTTCACATGCAACCTACTTTGGA